CATTATATACATATTTTCATAAATATATATGTTCAGATTTGCCAGTATCCTTAATCAGTTCCCTTATTAGGACACCCAGATTTGTTTTATATGTATTTTACTTAAAAGTTTTAAATAGATGTAAAGAGATGTTCTTGATAATATAAGAATTTACTGTCCAGAATGAATAGCCCATTGTTGTGAAAAAGGGCTATATTACCTGGCTCCTGAGGTTCTGGAACAGCTTTTCTTCTAGTACCCATTGTTACCTACCCATTGTTATAACCTAACTGCTGATCAGCTACAGATTTATTGCTTTATTTTGGTATGTTAGGTGATGTAACCACATTGTGGTTCCCATTTTAAAACCATTAAAAAATTTATATATGTTTTACATCTTTTTTTTTTTTTTTGCAATGTTTTCTTTCCCAGGTGTAGTCCCCACAGAATTTGCATCACCAGTTCACTCTATTGCCATAATCCTCTGTGCTGGCTTTCTTGTTCTTATCCCTTTGCCACCCCTCCCCTGCAGAATGTCTTTGGTTTATGGTTGTCTGGTTTTGCTTTGTAGTGTAAAAACCATTGTTTTAGTTAAAAAAGAAAAAAGAAAATTCATGCGGATGAAAATAGAACCAGCTTTCTTATACCTTTTTTGGCTTGACAACTTTCTCCTGAGTTTCAAGATCCACACAACTTCCTTTATAGGGAGGGAGGGGGCAGAAGAAAAATTGATGCATAGAGCAATCTAAAATATAGGCAAGTAGAGATTCTCCCCTGTCTAGTATATAAAAAAGACTTTGCTATGCCGTTCCCCCTAAATAACTGATTGTGTAGCATTTTCTTATTGCTTACTATAATTGTAGACTTTTTCAGTATTACTCTTTAGGAGAATCTAATATAGAAATTAGCCCAGGGTAACCCTAAAATCTTGTAACTGTTAATAATTCTAAATGAAACTTTAAAGTTCATGATTCTTATCATTGAGAGCCAATTCCACTACTAGCTTGAGTTTTACATTTCTAAAATCCTGTATCTTAGGAAAGATCCAAGGACCAAAATGCTTATTTAAGACACAGGTTTTGGAGGAGATTGGCAAGTCCAGAGCAGTCTAGGGTTTCATGGTTACATATTACAGTCATTTTGCACTAAGGATGTGGTAGGAATCCCCAAACCTAAGAATAGGGTGACCCCTTTTCACCTTCTACATGAAACGTTTGACAGTTTCATCTAGCCTGAAATCAGTTCATTTGTTTATGTTCCTGACAAATAATGCCAGAATTTTAGGTTTGCGGATAGATCTGTTATAAGATGGCATGGCAATACATTTTCGCTTCTCACATTCTGATCATTTTAAAATTTATGTTCCTGAACAAACTGATTCCTTAAATTGCTTATTATCAACATGGCAGAGCAGAGAGGTTAGGGTCCCTAAAAACAACCAAAAAAGAAATACTGTTTGCTCCAGGGAAGATTTAGGACTTAAGCTAACCATTAGATACTGTTTGTTATGCTTTTGTGCAAAAAAAAAAAAAAAAAAAAAGCCCTGTGTAAACTGTTATGTAAAACCCTAATGTGAGTTTTAGTATTAATGATCCCTATTTTTTTCAGTATTGTGTTCTTTCAGAACCATTGCAATATACATTAATTCAGAGCCACTTTCCAATAACAGTACACTACTTAAGAGTAGTGCACATACTGTACAATAAGAAAATATTCCTTACCCCTGTATCATTGCTCTCATCCATTATTTGACTTAAATATAAGCATACACATACACAAAATGGAATGGAATGTATTGCTCTTGTTATTTTGAACAATTATTGTTTGTGAAATTAAGAATAAGGAAAAAAAGTCTTAGTCACTCTCTTAGGTTCTTTGTATATCTCCAAGTTTCTAACTTGATCATTTTTCTTATCCTTGGGATATCTTTTTGCTTTCCTTGCAGGGCAAATCTAGGCAAAAAATTCCCTAAATTTTTGCTAGTTTGAGAAGGTCTTTTCCTTCCCTTTTGTAAAGGATATTTTTATAGGTTACAGCGTTCTAGGTTTGTGCGTTTTTTCCCCCCTCTCAACATTTAATCATTTCACTTAAGTGTTTTTTTGCTTATGTGATTTCTGAGAAGTCAGATATAATTTTATAGATATGAATTTTTTTCTTATCCAAAATTTATTCTTTCTTGATTTTCTGCAGATTATGCATGACACAGCTACATTGTGGTGGTTTTTGTGTGTGTGTGTGTGTGTGTGTTCTCTGATATTCCTTAATTTGTGCTTTCATATTTGACAATGATTTAGGGAAGTTCTCAGTTACTGCTTCAAGTATTTATGTTCCCTTTTTTTTCTTTCTGATGTTTCTATTATGTATATATATTTTGTAACTGTCCTACATTTTTTAATCTTTTTACTCTTTGGTTTTCAGTTTTGGAAATTTCTGTTGATGTAATTCTCAAGGGCATATTGTTTACAGATTCTATACTGTCTGATAATGAACCCATGAGAGGCATTCTTCATTTCTTGTAAACTGATTTTTGACTTCTGGCAATGCTTTTTGGCTCACATTTTCATCTCTATTGCTTACATTACACACTTTTTTTCTTGAGTATTATATGTCTATTCATTAGAGTCTTTAGCATATTTATCATAGTTGTTTTAATTTCCTACCCTAATAATTCTAACATCCCTTCCATGTCTGCACCTGTTTTCCTTACTTGCTTTATCTCTTCAAGTTGTTTATTTTTGCCTTTTAGTGTGCTTTGTAGTCTTGTTGAAAGGTGGACATGATATATACTAGGTGAAAGGAATTGTAATAAATAGGTCTTTAGAATGTAATGGTAAGACATAAAGTAAGAGGTAGCAGTCTGTAGTTCTCTGATTAGAGCTCAGTTTGATGAGCCTATGCCCATCGACTAAACTTCACAAAGCTTCCTAGTATCCCTGAAATGAAACAGGGTGGCCAGATGGTATTGGGATTGGGTATATTCCTTCTGCTAGTAACAATCAAGCTTTGATAAAACTCTGGCAGGTTAAGTTTCAATAAAATATTTCCTCTTGAAGAAGGTAAGAACAAAAAAGGATAAGAACAAAGGATATTGTGTATTTCAAGATACTTTCTTTGCCTCTCCATTGCTAGAAGTACAAGGAACTTTTTTCCAGTTGTCACTCTAACACTATGATATAACTCCTGGAGTTTAAAAAAAAAAATAGCAGGAAAGCATGAGGTTTACCCCCTGTCTGGATCCCCTCTTGAATTATTGTTATTTTTTAATCCAAAAGGACGGGTTTATTATAAGAAAGCAAAGGATGCTTATGCAGATACGAAGGGGCAGAAGGAGCTGCCCCTGAAAGGGACAGGTTTGCCAAAAGAGATGCCCACATAAAGACTACGTGTCTAGGCAGTATTGGGAGGAGAGCTGCCTGTATATACCGCTTTGCAAAGGGAGAAGGTTGGTGAAGCAAATACCTGCATAGTCCTAGGGGGACAAAAGAGCTGCCCCCCAACCCCTTACATTTTTAATGCATACAGAATTGGGGGTACAGGCCAGGGGTGCAGGGGCAGCGAGAGGATTCACCAGAGTGGGGAGCAAAACAGGCAGATCGAGGAAGTACACTGCTTGAGGGGAGCAGCGGGAGAGTCAGAAGAGGTCTGCAGCTCCATGTGGGTCACCTCCGGAGTGGGGGTTGAACTCATACTGAAGTGGCTGCTGGCAGGTTCATAGTTGCAGACCAGTGAGGCCCACCCATCCCCTGAGTTTTTATTGGTTTGGTTTTTCACTGTGCCTCCAGGAATTAATCATTTAAAATTGTTTTCCTACTCAATACTGGTTCCCATTTATGTTTCCATTTATGGGCTTACTAAATTGTGATTTTTCATTCTGCCTGCCTGTTACTCTAATTTTTGGATTATTTGTTTCCACTGTGGTCTTTCTTCCTTTACTAATATAAGAAGAGCTTTAGCTTTTCAGCTTGTTTAACTTTTTATTTATTGTTAGGTTGGAGTAGCAACTTCTAAACTCCTTTCACATTGGACCAGAAAACAAAAATATGTATTTTTTTAAATCAGTAATTACCCTTATGTAAATATGGTTGTGTCAAAAAAAAAAAAGAAGAGTCAAGTAGATGTTTTGAAAAAGCAGAGCCAGTCAGATGTTTTTGGAGAAAGGGAGAAAGTGCTTTGAGACCATAATCATATGACTCATGAAAAAAATCCAAAACTTTTTAATGTCCCGATAACTATAAAATCAATAAAGGTGATAAATGTCCTGACAACTTGTTAAAAAAAAATATAAAGATGCTGATAGATGATTAGATGACCCACAAAATGCTATTTAAAATATAAAAAAGGGATCTTTTGATGGTACACGGGTTAAAGTTCCAGTCTTTCAAGCTATCGCCAGCCACTGCAGTATGAGTTTGATCCTCGATCTCAGGCCGGGAGCTAACTAACTTACAAGGTGAAACAGACCTTGCCACTGCTCCCCTCAGCAGTATATTTCAATGGATCTCTCTTGTTCTTCACTCTGTCTGTGGTGAATCCTCTCATGCCTCCTCTCACCCCACCACCACCTCTGACCTATACCCTAGGACATGTATGCATTAATAAATATATCTTTTAAAAAAAATAAAAAGGGCCCTCCCTGGTGGCGCAGCCGGTTAAAACACTGCACTGAGAAGCTTAAGCCATATCCGCATGAGTTCGATTCCCGCCTGCCCCGGGAGGAGTCTACATGGCATGGCAGGCCTCTCCTGACCAGCCCGCTGCTCCCCTCAGCAGTGTACTTCGTTGATCTGCTTGTTCTGCTCCCCACTCTGTCTCTAGTGATCCTCTCACCCTCCGCATCTCTGGCCTGTACCCAGTTCTATATGAATAAATAAATCTTTAAAAAAAAATATATATATATAAAGGACAGGTTCTTTAAAATTTTGTGATAAAAGTAAATGCTTCTTTGATACAATTGCTATTTAATAAAGGGATGCATGTTATTTTGTGAACAAAAAAGAATGAAGTTCTTTTTTCAATTGTAGGATAATGTTAAGCATAAAGACTATCTTGACCATCAGAAGGATAAAGTTGCTTTAACTCTGGCTCGGCTGGCCCGCCATGTTGAAGTGGAGAAACAACAGAAAGAAGAGAAGAATAGAGCATTCAGGGTATGTGGCTATTTTAATCGATGCCTTACTAAATTACGGAGTTGTTTATAGTACCTACCTCATAGACATTGTAAGAATTAAATCTAAACATTTCTGGTAAATGGTAGTATTGTTATATATCACTTGAGTAGAAAATATGCAAATTGTGTATAGATAATATAACTAGAAAGAAATAGAGATTTTAGCAGTGTAAATTACCCTGCTGTCTTTTGAATAAAGTTTTATTGGATCATACTGTTTTTTTTTGTTTGTTTGTTTATATATTATCTATGAATACTTTCATGCTGTAACAGTGGAGGTAATTACTTGAAATAGTGACTTTGTAAACCTGCAAAACTTAAAATATTTACTGTTTGCATTTTATAGAAAAAGTCTGCTAACTCTTAATCTAGACAGTATTAATATTCTATGTGGACATATCAAACTAATGAATACTTGTTCTTATTAATACTATTCACTAATCAAATATTTTATTAGACTTCTGAAAACTTAAGGCTATCTTTGAGAAAATGTCTAAAAGTTAAAAAAATGAATGTAGCCAGTCATATTTCCTTTCCTAGACATATTTATTGATGTGTTTATTTTCAGTCTTTTCTGCTCCTGCAGCTACAGTGACATAAATTTTTGAAATTATCTTTATATTTGGTTTTACTTGTTCAACACTATTTTGTGGCTTCCCTGATATCTAAAGTAAATTCCAGCTTCATTGAGAAAGTCAATTAGCATTTCTTATGATTTTCATCAAATGTGCACACCATAATTTATTTTGATAATATCCTCATATTGGATATGTAACTTTTCATAAATTTTGAACTAATATGGGTAATATTAGGATCAACACTTTAGAATATAAGCCTTTGTTTTGACTTACCTCCTTGAAATATAGTTCTGGATATGTAGATCTAGGGATAGGGTAATCACTGCTTTCTGATCACTGATGTGCCAAAATTGTTTTTCAAGGAAACTTAAGTTTTAGTAATCATGGGTTAATTGATTTTTTCTTAATATCTAGGAAACAATTGATTTTCAGCATGCACACGGCTTACAGGAGTTGGAATTTATTAGAGGACATTCTGACACAGAAGCAGCAAGACTATGTGTGGACCAATGGCTAAAAATGTCAGGTATTCTTTAAAGATCATAGTGGAACACTGAGATTACAGAATGTCTTTAAGACAGAAGTTATGTATGTTTTATTCTTTTTTTATGGAAAGATTTATTTATGCATACAGAACTGGGGCACAGGCCAGAGGTGCAGGGGTGGTGAGAGGATTCACCAGAGACAGAATGGGGAGCAGAATAGGCAGATCGATGAAGTACACTGCTGAGGAGAGCAGCGGGCAGGTCAGGAGAGGTCTGCCGCGCCATGTGGGTCACCTCCAGGGTGGGGATTGAACTCATACTAAAGTGGCTTTAGCATCTTAGTGCTGTGCTTTAACCCATTGTACTACCAGGGAGGGCCCTATTTTATTCTTTTATGTGTTGCTAATAAATACATAAGGTATTGAAATTTAGTTTCAGTGAAACTTAATGGCCTCATTTACCAATTGCCTAACTACTTGGGAAAAGTTTTTTTTTTTTTTTCCAGTGCACGTAGGTTATCCTTGAACTCACTAGATATTACTTATTTACTCATTCTTATTATTGAATAGTTATTATATGAAAATACATATATTATATGAAAATAACCATGCATAGCAGGTTATTTGAAGACAAGAAAGGCTTCTCTAATGAAACGAGATTTAAGCCGAGATTTAAAGGATTAATGTTTTCCTTGTCAGTGTTGCCTATATTAATCTTTTTAAAGAGGTGTCTACATGGAAGGCTCATCTAAAGCCTTAGGTAGCTTCTTCTTTACTAATTTTGTAGACTTGACATTCCTGAAAAAGTTTCTATGGATCATTTTCCCCTGTCACTAGATAATTTGGTGGCATTTTTAAGAGCTCATAGCACAGCTTATCCATGACAAATTTTAGCCTATTTTGTGGCACATTCTCTGATTTTCCCTTAAGGCTTAGTATATCAATAGAAACTAGCTGTGGACTTAATCAAACAAAAGGTTGAATTGGAATATCTATGTCATCCTTAAAATTATCTATGTCACTTTGAATCGAAACATTTTGTGGCTATAAATTAGTTTTCAGGAGGATTTTCTTGAGTAAAATAAAGTTATTATTTTTAAATAGTTCCAATAATGTGAAGCTATATTGACAGTTCCTGAAATGCAAACATTTCCTTATTGTTTCCCAATCTGTTTGTGTCTGGCAAACTCACTTTGCACCATCCTCCCTTTTAAATACATTTTTCTTCTTCTTTTTTTCCTACAATATTAACTTGACAAATAGTCCTCAGTAATAGAGGTTACTTACTAGGTTTGTTTATTCTACATACATTTGATTACTAGCCTTTTTTGACCCCACAGTGTTTTTTTTTTAAAGATTTATTTATTTATGCATACAAGAACTGGGGTATAGGCCAGAAGTGCAGGAGGGAGAGGATTCACCAGAGACAGAGTGGGGAGCAGAACAGGTGGATTGAATGAAATACACTGCTGAGGGAAGCAGCGGATTGGACAGAGAGGTCTGCTGTGGAATGTCGGTCAGCTCCCCAGTTGGGGCTACAACTCGTGCTGAAGTGTCTGAGGAAAGCTTCATAATGCTGCTTCTTAACCCCTTGCCCCACTAGGGAAGCCCCCACAGTGTTTCATTAATGTTTCTGACATAGTGTTTAACCTCTTATTTTGGATTAATAAATTTCCATGTCTGTATCCTAGATTACTTGCTCCATGGGGACTGACACCAAGGCTTAATAATCCTTCTCAGAGTCATTCTTGGAAATCTTTAAATCAATGCCAGGACTTCATCTTCAGAGATAATCCTGGGGCATCTGTAGTTTGGAGGAGATTCCCAGGCAATTTTGATAAGAAAATAGATTGGAACTGTAAGGCTTTGTCATTTCTAAAATGCCTTCTAAAAATCATTTATTTATCCTAGAATTTTAAGTCCTGTATTGAATGGTTGTCGGGACAGTACTATGTCTCTTTAGGACTTCTCCTGATTTATGTAAGAATGTTTATTTTATTGTAAATTGAATTTATAAGTATCTGTTCATGTATTTCTCTGAGCTGAGCAAAGTGTTTTCCTAGTACATGGCGATACTTAAAATTTAATTATTTTCAGGTTCCATGTTGTTCATTGATGACTACTAAGTATGGAGTTTAGATCTTTAGTTATGCTCCTTTTCTGTGACTTTTTCCGTGGTCTGTACTAGTATGTTCTTAGTCCATAAATGAGCTATAGAGAGTGCTAAGAACTTTGAATTGTGTAGCTGGGGAAAACAAAAATGAGTCATTGTTTTCTTTAGTTATTAAAAAGATTCTATTTTTCAGTAACATTAAGAGACTCATTCAACTATTCTAGAGTATCTAGCTATTATAATTCAGTTCTTTGATTTACTTTAATTAATCATTAATTACTCCAAACTCTGGAAATGTGTATATATATTTAAATATTTATTTGTTCATGCACACAAGAGCTGAGGTATAGGACAGAAATCAGGGGCCATTCTGGTGAGAGGGTTCACCAGAGACAGTGTGGAGCAGAATAGGAGGATGGACTGAAACACACTGCTGAGGGGAGCAGGGAGCAGTAGGTGAGATGAGGGTGGGGGTTGGGGGGAGCGGGAGCTTGTGCTGTTCCAAGTGGGCTTCCTAGCCTGGATGGAACTCATGCCACAGTGGCTACAGTGGGTGAGATAGGAGTGGTCTGCTGCTTTATGTGGGCCAGCTCCCCAGCTAGGGATCAGACCTGTGCCAGTGGCTACCAATAGCTTCATTGTGCTGAGACTTAACCTCCTGTGCCACCAGGGAGGCCCCTGGAAATTCATCTTTTATAGACATTTTAGTTGGGTGAGTTTGCATAAAGTCAAATGCTTGTAATTTTGAAAACAATGCTGTCTATACTATTTATGGGAAAACACTGTTTAAATCTCCCTATATTTTGCTTCTCTGTGGGTTAAGCATATTTTCTTTGAATTGATGTTTTCTCCAACTTTACTTTTTTTTTTTTTTTTAAAGATTTATTTGTACATACAGAACTGGGGTACAGGCCAGAGGTGCAGGGGCAGTGAGAGGCTTCACCAGAGACAGAGTGGGGAGCAGAACAGGCAGATCGAGGAAGTACACTGCTAAGGGGAGCAGCGGGTGGGCCAGGAGAGGTCTGCCACGCCATGTGGTCACCTCTGGGGCAAGGGGGGATCAAACTCATGAGGAAGTGGCTTTAGCTTCTCAGTGCAGTGCTTTAACCTGTTGTGTCACCAGGGAGGGCCAACTTTACTTTTTAATTTTTTTCCAAATTTATTTTTTATAACTATACAGTTCTCGGAGACAATAATACTTTTTGTTTTGTTTAAATTATTTTGTAAAGTGAAATTGCCTTATAAAAGCATATAACATTCAGATGTATTAATTAAATAAAAATCTGTATATACTATATAATGTTCACTATTGAAAGTTCAGATTTGGCCTTCACAGTACACCTCTTTATAATTAATCCCTTTCACCCAATTTACCCACCCCCTTTCCACCCTGTCTAATTTTTATTCAGAGCTTCTGTTTGGTTAAGATCTCAATGGGAGACATCTAGCATGTGGATAGACAAAAATTAAAGATAAAAATTATATTGTGATTTAATAATTCCTGAAGACTAAAATATAATTAATGCTTTGTTCTTAAAGATAAAGTGTTCTAATCCAGGAGAATTAACAAGAAGGGTTAGGAACTTTACTGAAAAACAGTAACTCAGAATTTATTGATACCAAGTCACCCATGAATGAAATTCTACTGTGGTTATAGTAAAGCTCAGAACAATGAATATAGAGCCAAGAGATACCTAAATCACTTTACATCGGAGAGAAAAAGGAGGAGGAAAGTAACAGTGTGGCCCAACAGAATGAATCAGAGACCAGATGGCCCACTGGGCCACACTTATAGCTCATTACATACTAATCTCAGTAGAACCCTCCAACAAGAATTAGTAAAAGTGACCCATCAGACAGTAGAAGTGGAATTTCAGTAAAACAATGGAAAGCCCTGAAAAAAGAAGATAAAATAAAACATACCAGAATGGGAAGGAGTAATTATATCTTAGTAATCATCTTATATGTAAACGATCTGAATTCAACAGCCAAAAGATGGAGAGTGGCTGAATGAATTTTAAAACATCACCCAACCTTAATGTAGTTTACAAGAAACTCAGTTTATTAACAAAAGCAAGCACAGGCTTAAAGGCAGGAGGCAGTTATATATAAGCAAATGGCAACCAAAAAAAAAAAAAATCTGTATGACTATAATCATATAGATTATATAATAACTGAAAATACATTTTCAGTTAAGAAAGGTAACCAGTAATAGCAGCAATCACTATATTATGATTAAGTGTCTAAATAACACATAAATATATATGTATCATGACAGAGTACCAGGATACATAAGACAGTAAAAGAACTTGAGATATTGATAACAATAATAGGAAACCCCAATTACAACAATGGGCTGATAAACAAGACAAAAAATAAATAAGGAAATTATATGAAATAAAGCTAAAACATGCTATACCACATGGTTAAAACAGACATTGCAGTCACTCTACCGCCAAACCATTGCAAGACAGTTTTTGAAGTCTGCATGTAACTTTTTCAAAAACAGATCTTGGGTCACAGGTCCTTTGCAAAGATTGAAGTTTTACATGGTATTCTCTTTGACCATAAATTCACAGTTAGAAATACACTATATATAAAAAAGGAAAAACTATGAATATATGGAGACTAAACAACTTGGTGCTTAATAACTATTGTATAGAAGATGAAATCAAAGCAGAAATGAAAAAATACCTTGAAGCAAATAGAAATAATGATATAAGCTAGCAAAATCTATGGGATGCAGTGAACACAGTCTGAAGACGGTATCTAATTACTACATAGGCCAGTCATGAATGTAAGAGGAAAGATTACTTCAACACAGAAATATGAAAGGTCATAACAGACTACTATGAAAAACTGTGTGCCAATAAACTCAAAAACCTTGACAAAATGTCTAGTTCAGTAAACACATGAATTGAACAAATTG